ATATTGACAAGATAGATAAAAAATAAATATATTTTTATTTTAATTGGATGTAAACAAAAATATAATAAAATGACAAAATATATATATATATATATATATATATATATATATATATATATTGTATAAAAAAATAAGTTACCTGTTATTAATAATTACTGTTAATAATCAAACTACCTGTTAAAATAGTCGAATGTACTGAGTGTATAGTTTGCTACGTAAAATAAAACAAAAAAAAACAAAAAAAAACTGATATTACCATATACTTCGTTATAAACTAATTCTATACTTTTTCCATGCAAAAAGAATTGTCAGCCAACAAAATCAATTTATAAATTGCTTGTCAATATATAATTGAATTATCGATTCTGAATAAAATAATTTCACTGTTATAATAATATTTCATCGTGATATTATTCTTCAATTTGCCTTATGCAATAAATTTTCCACGAAAACGGGAAATTACTTTTCAATCAAATCGGTTTATAGAAAATACAACAAAGTGCATTTCTTCTATTTGAATAATGAGAACGAAATCAATCATAACAAATCTACTTTAAAATATTTCTGTTTATTTTGTGAAGAAATTTAGACTTTGATATACAATTTACTCTCTCGTTAGAAATTGTAAAGTAGAAAAATAATTATTTTGCGCAAAAAAATCTGTAGCGGACTTTATCATCAGTAAGTACAGTAGTTTTAATTGAATATAAAGTTTAGATAATAATGTGTACATTAAAAGCAATTATAGGTAATTCAAATAATCGTTTTGAAATAACAAAATACTAGGTATCAGTGACAAAAAGCAAGTTGCAAACACTTTGCGATATGTGTAACTAATTCACATACTCAGTACGAATCGTTAATCAGCAACTTTTAAAATTGTGATAATGAAAGATTGAAATTTTGATATGGTCCATGATTTCAAATTTTACTGTGTATTTATAATTAGACTACTCTTGATAGTTCCATATTACATGAAATTAGATTGCTAAATTAATTGAGGCGCTGCAACATTTTCACAGGGAGGTACCAAAATGTTGGAAATCACTTTTTTCGGACGTTTTTCAAGACCTAACTTCGATTCCCAATATATCTCTTCAATGGTTTTTGAATGTTTAAAGTCGCTACTACTGAAAAATTGCACTTTACTGTAACAACAAGTTACAAAGAAAGGAAAATTTCTTAATAATACCCATATGTACAATTACACAAATTTCAATAATTGTAAAGAAAGTAATTGTCCAAGTCATATTACCAGCGTTAAATACATATAATCATTTCGTTTCTAGTAAAGTGTAAAACAATGTTATCAATCACTGTAGAATTAGAAATCAAGAACCGATGTATCGTACATCAGTTGATGACAATTCACAATCCCTCTGAGATTTAATTCATCTCATAAATCCATCAACGCCTTGTTAGGAAATAGTAGAAGAGCTGGACGTAATTTAATTTAAACAAAAAATCAGAACAAGCAAACTGCCACAAACCTCAATTTGAAAGAACAAATAAATCAACTACAAAACAACTACAATGCCACAAACCTTGAAAGAACAAATAAATCCTTTGTTATTGATATTTTATATTTGGACAATTTATAACATCGATTGCGGAGAATGTATATATGAGAGAAAACACTTTCTGCGATTAACAATAAATTATTGTATTTCTTTTGTCAATGGAAATCGACACTGTGTATTTTTGATTGAATATAATGAAGTTAACAGTTGTAAAAAATGTATATAAATGCTTCTAACCGACTACGATAGAAATTGCTTTGATTACGTTTTGGCATATATGCATCAGTTCTTGGTCCATTTTACATTAATAAAATAAATTGTTTTGATTTTACAATCTTTATACAACATCAGTTATCAATAAAATGATATTTAGAGCACCATATCCTATATACGATTTCGCCGACTTTCATCCCCATGATCTTTCCGTGCCAGAAGCGTTGTTTATTGCTTTCCGTAGCCAGACGGAGCGCCATGGGGGCCCGCAAACGCTAACGACACAACAAACGCGACCTGCTCTTCCAAGACTCCCAAGAGTTAGTATTATCGATCCCGGGGGCTCCCCGAGAGTGGCAAGAAACAATAACATCACGACATACGGAACCCGCATTGGTTGCACAATGAACCATACGGAAAAAGGAAGATGACAGGAGCTAGTATCATGAAATTGTAATTTAACACATGAAGATTCGTTTATACGAATAATGTCTAACATTAATTATTGTTGAAACCTTCTTCTTTAACCATTTCGCTACGAGCGTCGTCTATGGACGACATCCAGTGTGACAAATTTTGTCTCAAAATTTATCACTCTGTATTAAATTATTGAAAAATACAATCTGTTATTGTGTTTGTTAGTTTACCCGAAATGTAACTTTTAATTCTTAAATAATTTCTTATCGATCATGATTGCAATATTTGAAAATATTTTGTGTAACAAATTCTTGGGCGGTTTCATTGTCGTAGCGAAAGGGTTAATAGATAGATCTTTATATCAGTGTTTTTACGGGCAGTGTTTTATGCTTAAGATAAATAAATTGGTAAATAACTTTATTTAAACAAGTTTTGCTAATTATTATAAAAATATTGATGATATTCATACACATAAACTTACGTGGACAGCTATCAATTTGATTCAGTTAAAACGGTTCAAGTTCAATTGAAAAAATTAGGTATTTACGTTTGTTATATTTATATAAATTCTTCTTCAAATAATAGCAAAATAGCATCATATAGTTAAGTTGAATAAAGTGAGTATAATTATCATTAATAAACTTTAGGCTAACTTAAGTACTTGGTACACCTTAACTTTCAAGCCGGGGTAAAAACTTTATGAAGTCACTGAAGTCCAAAATATGTTATGAAACCCGACTATTAGTTTTTTTCTTGTCGTTGTAAGCTCCATCACTTGAAACTTTTATATTTTTTCAAGATAATGTCGCAAGCTTTCGTTATGGAATGAGAATGTATAAAACATGTGGTGCTTGAGATAATTTTTCTTGGATGGCGGAGAGAATGACAAAATCTCAAAATTAATGAAAACTTTGTGCGAATTTAACATGTATTGAAAATACATTCATTGCGAAGGTGATGGCATTTAGATAAGATAATCAATACTATCGAAAAATATACGAAAATTAAAAATGGCCTATTGAGTAACCAAATAGGTGCTTGTGTTGAAGGCCAACATAAAATCCTTTCATCAGCTTTTCCACATATTAATCCTTAATTTTAAAATTTAATAAATAATAAGCAGATATTTGTTAACAGTCTGTAAAAGTTCTGATAATACTCAATAAATGCATTTCGATTCAGAGGTTGAAAACAAAAGATATTCAGCATCCTTTCTCTAAAATATTACTATATATCAATCCATCTCTATCCAATTGAGCTTAAAGCTCAAAAGCACGTTCCATTAATCTATACCCGTTGTCAAGATAGAATATCATAGTTGCCTGATAGGACAAAGATAATCTTTCAACTGGAGGTTCGTTGGGGGTTTGGGGGGGGGGCGCATCATATAATAAGTTAATTAACATCGGAGTGCACGAGTCGCAATTAATATCCGGAATGCAGAGAGATTATCTCGATAGACAACAGAGAGGCAAAGTGTGTTCGGCCAAATTGAATAATAATTGAATAAACCGTTAAGAATTACAAATTTGTAATTAACCAGTTTAAATAGATAAGGATAAAAAAATACTTGATAATGGTAATGAACAAGTTTCGTAATTGTATTGAAAATAAATTGCTAATAATAATAATTAGTATAATATATATATATATATAATATATATATATATTATATATATATATATTATATATATATATATATATATATATATATTACAATCTTTTAGAAAATGATTTAAAACAGGTACCTATATTCAACTACTGAGTAACAATATTCGAAGCAGCGCCATGTATAAAAATATCAATCACCAACTCGCAAATAGAATCTTTAATTAAAATCTTCAGGGAAAACGTCCTTTGAATTTCAATTTCTCTTAAAATCGGAATTAATTATATCAAATGGCCTGTGAACACGTTTAATCAAGACTAGAATTCAAAGAGATGTCAGATAATAGCAAACTGATGTCATTGAATTGAATAGAAACGCGATCAAATGTATTGATTTATAAAATAATGCAAATTTTAGAGACAAGTACTACGCTTACTAGCTTTTCTGAATAATTTAAGCAATAAAAGGAAATAATTAGGAATTTATAAGTAGTACAATATATGAAATATTTACGAATAGTTTTAATTAATATCATATGCTGTAACATAATATACGATACAAATCAAGAATTTGTTAACTAGAACAACATTCGCACTTGTAAAGACTATAATTGTTTTTTTAAGTTTAGGTATTTTAACAGCAAGTTATAGCAATTGCAAAAAAATAGATAATGAAAATTTATGCACATCTTCACGTTTTATCGTTCAACGTTTTTTGAACATTTTTGAATATCTTAGAAAAAATTTTAGTAAGTGTGTGTGTATGTAGTATGTATGTATGTATGTCTGTTCGGATACAAATGTTTGTCGTCGTTTCCGAGAGCACGGATCAATACAGAAATTTGAATAATTGAAAAAAAAAAATTATTTGAATTGATGGGGAGATGTGTTGATTAGTTTTTGGCAAAAAGTAATAATTATAATAATTTCAAATAGAAGTAGAGTTTCTATATTTTATTATAAACTTTTTTTATATACTCCTAATACAAATTGGATCATATTTCTTGTTATATAACTATAATAACATAATCTTATTAGTGTATATAAATTCTAAATATGTTTATTCATATTCTGGTATTTCTAGTAACTATTCATTATTGGTCACAAGTGTGATTCGTCGAGTTTTATTAAATACAATTTTGGTACGATTAAGTATAACATATATAGGGACAAGTTATTTTTATAATTTTCGTTAATTTTTAATGTAAGATAAATAAAAATTTTCCTTTTTGTCTATTTCAGGGATCGCGTCTGTGGTGAAGTGCGTCTGTGATGCACGCCAATGTGCACACGGACCGCGGCGGCGGAGGCGGAGGCGGCGGCGGATCGTGGCGGTTACCGCCGGACGAGACGCTTCAAGTCGCAGATCCCAAGTCGAAAGAACCGGTCAGTTAAAAAAATACTAAATTATTATTACAATACCTTATCATTTAAAAAACGACTTTAAAGTTTTATTTTACTATTTAAACGCTATTTAAAACGAAACTAAGGTGCAAAAAAAGAACAGTGATTAAACGTTAGAAATGTAAATTACAGTATTCAAGTTAATTAGGTGTTATAATTAATTTATCAGCAAATTTATTAGTGCGTCTTAATTTAAGTTTTCAATGGTACTGCAAAATCTGAAAACTTCCTGTGAGTTGTTTGAATTTTGTGAAGTCTCACTAACGTTAATCCATTTAATTATAATTTGATTTGAATGCATCTTAACCATATAAGTATCTGTTAAGCAAGTCACAATAATATTAAAACAAATATTTTAAACTGAAATAATTGTTTGATTTGCATATTTTGATATCCGATTTTAACTTCCGTATTTTACATATTTCGTCTAATACAATATCATCAAAAAGCTTAATTCATGAATACAGATTTTTATAACCAAATAAACTTGAACACTGGTTTAAGTAAATGAGCAAATTTACCGCATTATCTCATATTCCGCATTATATATGACGCAACTTATAGACAGCACGTTGGTGAAAAATATATTCATCCCAAATTAAGAAAGAAATATGCTAAGTTAAGTTTTTATGCAAAATTATGCAAACAATCCTATTATTATCGAACAATAACAAAATTGAGGCATTAAGTACAGCACATGATTGAATTTTTAATGATAAAAACGATTGACTGGAGTTGAATGAAAATGGAATCGTTCAAGTATTACGTAAGCAGATTAATTACAATTATTTACCCTCGCATCCCCCTTGTCAGCAAAAGTAAGCAAAGCTCTTACCCCCTACCCCCATGCTTACGTAAACATTTTGCAAATAATGTAAAAAATAAAAATATTACCTATAACGTAATCATCTTCCAAACTCCCCTGCCCCCCATGTCAACCCAAAATAAGCAAATCAACAACCCCCCGCCCCCCTATAATGCTTACGTAATACTTGAACGGCCCCAGTGAACCAAATTCACTTGCTATTGTGAGAAATTAACTATATTTTGATCATTCACTAACAAAAGTATTATATCTCGAATTTGAAGAGATTCAGTAAGCAAGCGTATTGAATCTATACTCGTATAGATATGCAGAACTATAATCGTATAGTTGTAATGTAATCGCCCAAGACTATAATAGTCCTGCTATATTAACAGGCTTAATTGAAATACACAAGTCATAACAAACAGAAACTAAACTTTTAAAATTAAATTAAGTACGCATATAAATCCAAAAGTACAATTTGATCAAGCCAAAAATTAGAAGATTAGAAAGTAAATGAATCAGCGATCTGCCGCAATCTGCTCAATGAATTTTCTATACTATACGATTATTTATTGTTATTTTTATTTATTATTATTTTTTTTTTGCTTTTATATTTTATTCTCTGATTATGGTGTTATAATCTGATTGTTAAAATTAGAAAGAATAAATTATTAACAAAAAAAAATATTACAAAAAAAGTTATTAAATGTATGGCATTTCAAATAACCTGATCATTTTTTTAGTAGTAATTCAACTATTCCAATTAGGGAGCAGGTTTAGTAATTATCTATAATAATAGTCTATATAAAAATGAATTAATGAACAGTCCCCCAGCCTGCAGTCTATAATAGCAACCCCCAATTCATCATTTTCATTCATTTCTCATTCGTTTCGTTTTTCTTTCTCTTCCAGGACCTAATGTACGGTGGAGACGGACACAACTGGAAGAGCATCATTTTTTCTCTCCTGGTTATAGGTCTGGTCATTGCCGGAATCGTCACGGCCATTTATCTTCTGGGGTAAGTGTTTCACATTTTCATCACAATAAAAGAAAATATGAAGATTATTATTTATTAAATTTGTTATATCCGCAACATTTGTTAATCAATTATGCGGATGTAATGGAAAGTTATTGCGATAATATATATGCATTATGTTTAAGCTGTTAAGTCTTGAATATTTTACGTGGAATATTTATTTAGATCAGCACATTTTCGGCAACCCGGGTGGCAAGATTTGGAAGGCAAATTTCCACCAGTATGGGATTTCAGGTTTAGTTTTTGTACAAATTTATTTTTGTGAATTAACAGGTTTGTTTGACAGTTGGCACTCCACAAATTTATAATATGCAATTTTTTAATTGTAAATACAAATTTTGATGTTTTGTAATTTAACCGTGTGTTATTTTGAGTGTTTTTCGAGTTTTAGTTTTATTATTGTAACAAAAAATGTGTTGATTCATTCCTAACTATGTTTTTTATATACTCTTATTTAATTCATTAGCAGCAAGTTATGGCAGTTGTTGCGGATAAAAATTTAACCATAATGCAAAATTCGCAAAAATAATGTTAAACTTAAACATAATCATTAGAAATGTATATAAAATTAAATGCTCGTGATTCTGTATGCTAATTAAATAATAAAAAACAAACTAAATCACACAATAGAGAGTGATATTATAAATTAATAAAACCAATAATAAAGATTGTTATAAAGAAAATGAATAACATTACCTTGACTTTAACATTATTTGATGAAAATGCAATTGTAATAAATTACTAAAGAAATTAAAATATGATATAACTTCAATTATTGAGCAAAATAAAATAATAAATCAAAATGAATACAATATATGAATAAAACAAATGTAAACAATTATCAATTTTTGTATATTTTAATATGGCAATCATATTAGCAAGTCTTCTGCAATTCACGCTCCAGTTTCATTAGAGCAAATTAATAAATATAAGAAAGTCATTTGTTATTGATATCGAATAACAAAGGATATATTGAAGTATTTCCTTAGCTAAAAGAGCAGATGACGAATGAATATCGGATTGATACAGGATAAGAGAAAGCTCATACATATTGGCCTGAAGCCCAGAGCAAATCTCTCATATCTAAGATTGGTTTTGAAAGTCATCTTCTGATATATGAAAAATTGCGAACTCATTCGAGGTCATGAGTAGAATGGAGAGTTGCCGCTGCCGTGATGTTCCTTAACAGGAAAGATTTGAGGAGCTTATAAAGTATTTTGTGAATATAATAGATTTACATAAAAAAAAAACTTGAATATATCATATATTCAACTTATTTTGAAGAATTACCATGCAATCGAAGATTTACGTAAGAAATATATTGCAAGTTACATTTTATAACCATTTGTGTATTGTCAGCTTTGACGCTAGAAATATGGATAAATTGATTAAAATATATAAAATATAAAAACTCTGGTAAAGAGTTCATTCGTTCAATGAAATATTCGGCCAATCTGACACCTCTTTCTCAAAAATGGAAATAGTTTATAATTACAAAACTATTGTTAAAAGGTTCAAATGTGCATCATTTAATTTAATATAGTATATAGTATAACGATCATTTAATCTTTAAACGCGTTTTTCTCGAAACAGCATTTTCCGAATTTGCTGCAGCAATTACTCAAAAACAAATGATCCGATTACTATCAATTTTTTTTACATCTTCCATATATAGTTCTCCATAATATGAACTATCGATTTTTTGATCGGATCAAAAATCGAATTTTGGCAGTCCAAAAACGACCAAAATTTTGGGTAAAATTCGACTTTTTTTTAAAAAAAACGCCGTCATTTTTACAATTTTTTATTTTTTTTCTTTATCGTAGTTCATTTTACAGACAATATTATCTAGTTTAACGAGATTTTTTTTTAAAATTTTATCCACGTAGAAGGCCGGAATCACTGCAGCGGTAAAGGGCCTTTTTTTGTCGCGCCGTTGTAGATCGACGATAGCTTAAAAAATATTTAATTTTTTGCTTCAAAAATTTTACTATGTATTCTTAAAACATGTATAAATATATTCCTAAAATTTTGAAATGATTGATAGAGTAGTTTTTTTTAATATAAATTCACAAAAATCACTTTTTTTCTAGGCGGTTACACTAGTTGTGCCCCTTAATAAAGTATATATTATACGGATTCATGAAAACAACCTTGAAATTCATGAATTGCCAAGTGAGGGAATCGAATTAAGCTCCCGATTGGAATTATCATTTGATTATAAATGGTAATTTAAAATTAGATTAAAAGAAATACAGGCATCAACAATGAATTCTTATTATAAAAGAATACTGACGTTCAGAGATTGATGGCTCATTAAAACGGAGTTTCCTATTGTTTTGTTTTTACAGTTTTAAATGATTATATCTAAATAATTGCATCCCCAATTAAAAAATTAACTCATTTTATCATAATAATTATCTAATCATTTTCCCCCCAGATACGTGGATGAGTTGCTGTACTGGTCCGGTCGCCGAATGAAGCTGGACGAGTACCTGCAAGGGGAGCTGTCGCCGCGGCGACTGCCGCCCGCGTGGGTCTCTCAAACGCATTTCGTCTTCCAGGCCGACGACGGCGGCCTAGCCGTTCTAGACACGGCCAACGATTCCGTCAGCTTGTTAGTCACTAATCACACGCTTGTGAGTAAACAACCATGATGTATGGAATTTTGTTGAAATTATTTATAGAGTCAAATATAAAGTATTTAAATTAACGGAAAACATACTGCAGGCTTAAAGATTCTTTTATTATTCCTTTCGTAACAGGTAGTATAACTTTATAAAAATATAACTAATACAATTTATAAAAGGCTATTAAGTCAAATTACTACACGATTTACATGTTGATACAAAAAATAAATAACTACATAAATTTTCAATGTACATTTAATCATATGCACATAATATTGAAAACATGTGAGAAATTTGCTAAAACGTGGCTAACTAATCTGAGATTAATCATGGAGTTTTTTTTTTAGTCTAAGAAATAAATATCGATCATTTATATATCATTTAGCAGAAGAAACGGAATACTACAGGAAATGCATAACACTAAAACAGACAAAATTTAAAACCCTGTATTTGAAATTCGTTAGGTATATTTAAAAATATAGACCACTATAAAAATGGTTTGTAAGCAATATGCCAGTTTTGCATCTATTACATTGTATTAGAAAGCTGGTTTAGGGAATTTTCAAAAATCGATTTTTTTTTATATTTTCAAAATTTAACTATACAGTAATATGTGTCGAAAACATTCCAATTTTGATAAAATGCTTTGAAAAAATTGAAAAGGTTCGAGCAGAATAATCCTCCTGTGCCTTGCCCCGCAAATCTTCAAAACGAGCTTTTCCCGAAACTGTCTTTTTTGATACGATTCCCATGATTTCTCAACTTCTACTTGCCGAAGTACGTACTTATAATTTTGACAAATTCTTTATAGACTTCTCTTTAGTTTAAAAATTAGGCTCATAGCCAATTTTGATATTTACTATTTTAAAAATTCTAGAGTATAAAAAAGTTGTAAATTTTTTCAGACAATCGCTGTTTTGTAAACTATATTTTAACTTAAAATTTATTGATATATATATATATATATATATATATATATATATATATTTCAGATTATTTGGAGGGCTATAATCATGTATACGATCAAGTGCTAATTTTTGGAGACTCTCCACTTCAACTTCTTACTACTAAGACCACTAAAACCTTACGACTAATTTCAATTTTAATTTTTAAAACAGCAGTAAAAATATTGTTTGCCTTTCTTTTACGGCATTTCAAAAATCTCACAAAATTTATGCCTCTACAGCAGAATACTTACTTAATGCATTTGAAAATATCTAATTTCAGCGGTATGAAAAATAGTTTTTAAATCGAATTTGTGATAGTATTTTCTAATTTTAATAATTCTATAATCCTCTAATTTGGAATACTCTAAAGAAGACCAGCATAAAAAATAATACCATTTTATACTTTATATAGAAATAATAATAGTAATAATTTATATAAATCGATTCGATTTTCAAGATTGCATAAGAACATTGTTCGATCGTCTTATTTTGACAAAAATTTTAAGCAAGACTAATGAGAACAATTTATTGTTACCTTCCACCTATCCACTATATATTTATAATATGAATGCATAAATCACAGTTTGTTATAACACCTCTATCCTATAATATCGTTTAAATTAAATCAAATCGCATGTGTCAGATTTGACAAATTGATATTGCACATAACATCTGTTGTTCGCGCATGTTATTTTTTGTCATATGAATAGCGTAGCGGGTGGAGGCGCTTCTCGTACGTCAAGTAGGGCAAAAACCGACACAAGTACAAGCTCGGAAATTCCGCACCGCAAGTTATTAAAGTCGATGGAGGAGTTTATTAGTTTCGCCTTAGGAGATAATAAACGAGCACATGGGATATAAAATGTTAAATGAAACTTATTGGTAGATGAGGACATTTAAAATAATACATACAGTAATAATTTCAACTGCACATGCTGAATTATTGAACTTTACTAAGAGATAGATCAGATACTTTTTGTTATTCTTGTTAGAATAAATACAAATTTTATTAAATTTGATTCTTGATTTATCTTATATATTTAATTATTTTTTTGAAAAGTATTGATTGATTTTTGTCTTTTTCTATTCCAGAGGCAACTTAATGTTCGAGGTTATCAGTGCTCATCAGATCTACGTTATGTTCTTTTCAAACACGATGTTAAAAATGTAAGTATATCATTTATTTTTATTTGATTTCATTCTGGTAATAATTATTTCAGTGTTCTTTGTTACTAATAAGAAATTAGTACAATACAACGATACAGAAGCCGTGAAAAACAATTGTGTATGTATGTAACCCGATTTTTGACACGTATTTTCAAAACCGGCTGAACCAATTTCAAAAATTATACGTTATATATAAGTATACGCACACATTTATAAGTTACTCTATGAAAACTCAAGAAGTTTTTCGATTCAGTTTGTTTTTAAAATTAGATGATAAACAAAATTTTTCGTCCACTTTTTTCTGAATCGATTCGTAAAAAATTCTGAATCGATTTTGACTAAACAAAATATATTCGAATGATATCATTTGAGAACCATGCTGATTTGTTTTTGGCTTAGATTGGTCGAGTCGTTTTCTTCGTAATAAAACGATAATTTTTTTCGCGATTTTAATGAAACTTACAATGACGTTAAAGTTCATGGTCTAAGGGTCATCATCATCTTAGACTCTCAAAGAATTTCTTAAAAGATTATAGTCATGTGAAAAGTGATCCAATTAAAAAAAAAAACTTTAAGTATGGAATATTTGGCCACACATTTAGAACATATATGCTCGTGTCAGTGCACAATAAGTAATTTAATTACTGATTATAAGTTTGTTTGAAACATGTCAATGATTAACTCACATTGAAATAATCAATTTTCACGCACTGTGGCGTGAAATGACAATGGAAAATCCTTCATATTATTCTTCCCTGAATCTAATTGGAACTCAGCTCACGGATCTGAACCCAGGATAGTATTGACCCATTTATTATTTTATATATAATATATGCAAATATAATATCGTTTTGTAATGTTTTTTTTTCTAAGTATCTATCCAGTTCCGCACTTGTTCAGGAAATGGATATCACGTCAACCCCGATTGCGATTCAAAGTAATTACTACAGCAGAATATATACTTGAAGGAACCGCGATAGATCAACGTCACATGTACGTTAAGAACCCTCAGTCTTATCTCTGACTGCGTTTAATCTTCGCGAATATCAAATGACGAACCACCTTCAACAATTTATGCCTCGGGAAAAGTTCAAAACGATATAAGGCAGAGACTCTTTAACTAAAACCCGGACATCCGATCCGAGACAGAGTGATTAATCATGATTTTCCATTGGATTACATAAATAGCGTAATTTGAATTATTTAGGATGCGCTATACCGCTAGAATAATTGTATACTAATTATATCACATATAAGAAGCAAATCCTAACTACATGCTTAGCCATTGTAAAAATCAAAAGTTTTAAAAACCGATTTTACCGCTAAGGGGGTATTCTGGTCTAGAAGTATGAATTTGATACAATTTTTGAATGGTCTTAAAAAAGTCAAACAATATTTTTACTATATATATATTTTTAACGAGGTCTTAATTAATATTTTGAGAATTTAAAAGCAAAATTTAAATTCAAAATAGTCATGAAGTTTTAAGTCTAGAAGATTATGATATCATATATAATATTAATCTAAAATATTGTCGCAATAGTATGAACTATAGACAAGTTTAAAATATGTTTTTTCACAAAATAGCTACTGTCTAAAACAACATTTTTATTCATACCTGTATATGGGATTCTCGAGTTTTTTTTAAAAAAAATAGTAAAAATCAGAATTTTGTAATGAGCGTAGTTTATACTGAAAAAAAGTCTATAAGGCAAAATATGTGAAAATTTCAGGTGAATCGGTATAGTAAAAGTTGAGAAATCGTGGGTATCGGCAAAGATAGTTACGAGAAAAAAACATTTAGAGTTTCAGAGTAGAAAAGCCTTAGTCAAACGGCTATAGCTTCGAAACTAATTCAAATTTTGAAAAATTTTCTTGAAAATGAATAGTTTCAATGGAGAACTTTAAAATTATGGAAGAAACATAATCGTTTTTTTAAATTCTAGACCAGAATACCTTTTTAATACATCACATATTTAATATAAAAGTAACATTAATTTGATTAAAAACTCATCTAAAGGATTATTTTAGTCTAACAAACAATTAACTAAAGTGCACTATTTGCTCGCTGATCCTCTTTATAATCTGTTACTACATGGATAGCGTAAGTTGAATTATTTAGAAGACGCTATAACACGAACTAAATATAATTGTGTACTATTTAAATCACATATACGCAATTCTCACTATAAATCAACCCATAAGAAAAATGAGAAGTTTTATGCAACCTTTGAAAATCTATTTTGACTTTTAATATATTTTGCGTAATACTAAAAATAATCGTATTAAATTTCATCTACAAGTCTAATATTAATTTGATTAAAAACTAATCTATTTACTATCATAATCTTAAAAGGATTAATTTTAATCCAATATACAATTACGTAAAGCGCACTATTTGCTCGTTGATCCTCTTTCTAATCTGTTTTGTGAACAACTAATCCTTCAAGTACCAGAAGCACTTTGAAAAGTTTAGTGATGGACGAATTCATTAAAATGAAAATTAAATTCGGCGAAAACTATTATCTCGTTGCTGAGCAAAAATTAATTCCAACTGGCAAAGTGGGGAAATAAAATTAATATATCGTTAGGACATTTTAATGAAAATTAAGTTACTTCATCTGAAGCCCACTATCGAGGATCTTCAGTTGTGCTACTACTAGACTTATTCTACTAGGTCGCTAACATTTAACATTTAACGACATTCAAAATATAGAAGAAACTACAGACAGTTTAACATAGTTCAATAAGTAACCATTGGACTTTTTTTAGAAAAACGGAAAAGTACTAATGGAACTTAATAGTTCTGAGTTTTAGGGTTTTCTTATACAACTTTATAACTTCCTACCATCAATTTGAGACATAAGATATTGTAGAACAAAATTGGCCATTATCCGCAGTTCAATATATAACGATTTTAAATATTCACAAGAATCTTCAGCTGGCTTTTATTATCGTTTAACACTACGTTCATTTTCTCCGAGGGCTATGAGATTCCTTCAGAAACGAGCCCGAGCTCTTTTCTTCCTACTCGAACACAATAGGCTCTGTCTAATGCTTTCGGATTCCGAGCAGCATTTTATTATGATGATTGCCTTTCTGTTCGTTCATTCAAACGGTTTCGCAAATTACGAGATTCTGCAATAATTTATAAAATACATATAGCTATACAAAAGAGATGATCGAGATAAAGGAAATTTCGGATAATACTCTAGATAATGTTCTTTGATGCAATTCTTATGACAAGATATTTTTATTATATAAGCGCAATTTATAGTTATTGATGACTTAAGATTGTGTTTTTATTATATAATAGTTTAATAGCGTTTTCCATTTAAAAAAATTGGTCGACTGGAAATTGCCTTAATGTTATGATACACAGATCGAGAAGTCCATGTAACTTTCCTTTACACAATGCAGCTTTTTCAATCAATTTAAATGTATTACATTATGTAATGCAGTTTACACTTTAAGGAATTTTTACCCTCAGGTATTACACTCTAACATACCACTGTAAATTAAAAATACTATTACATTTGATTTTTTATACAATAGTATGTATTATCGGACATGTAGAAAAATAAATATGTTTGACAATTCTTAAGGAAAAATCACTTGACAATAGCAAAATAAATAAATTTTCAATTACAGCTATGGATTAACCAGGATATAGTTTGGCATGGCGCCTGAGGAAATGCCACCTATACCTAAAATATTATTTGAACAGTTGCCGAGGCATAAAGACTGACTGCTTAAAGTTCATACTGATTTTACAATTTACGTTATTAAGTTATTTTCATATTAAAAATTTATTAAGTTTGTTGAAAGTTCCTAAAGATGTTCAATGGAAGAAAAATAAAATAACTGTACTATAATGTTTAAATTGTTTAGTTTATCATATTTAAAAAATGAATTTACAAAATATATGTTATTTTCAATATGAGACAATTAGTTGAAATAATAGAGTGAATGAATATAAAGTTAATCACATATCTGAAAATTTTTCAGCCCGATATTCACGAGTAGCATGCAATATGTAATCAGGGTTTTTATAATTGGACAATTCCATTAAATTTCAAGGATTGTTTTCTATCCATTTACTACTAGAAAATCCTGCAATTTGCATTTCCACGTCGGAGGCTTCGATAAATAAATGTGTATAGGGATAGACGGACCCGCTAACTGCCGTAAATCACGCTTTTCGCGCTCGGCGACTCTTATCGGACTCTCTAATCGGCTGTTTCTAGAATAGAGGTTGTTTGCCGAACCTCTGCATCTATTATTATCCTATATTATATAAACGATGGACGTCGGTTCCTTCGTCAGAAATACGAACAAACAAGGACGACGGGAAGTGTTTGCATTTCATTTTCAAACTGACGTTTTACGAGAATTTGACGCGCGCGATCGCTCACTTCGGAAACGTTAATAGGATCGGGATGATTAGGTTTTGATGATGGACGGAGGATGATTATTTTTAATTATAATACACTAGGAACAGCAAAATCTGTTTACTTATGTCATGCGATAATATTTATGTTAGTTATGGGTCTTCATCGTAAACTAAACTCTGCTATAAGAACGTCAACCCTCCTATTAGACTCAGGATACGCGTCTTCCATATAGCGCAATCCTGAATTTGTGATACCTCCTCAGTATAGTACTTCTTCCGCACTGTCTATGTATGACTAACTCTAGTAACTAGATATTTTAGAAAATTGAATTGTCGTCTATTTTATATCTTACAATATATTCATATAAAAAAGCCAACGTATCACAGGATGTAGGAGAGTTAGTAACTACACCTGGAAGAAGCTTTAGTTGAGCACCCACTTCAAATGCATAGATAACCGTAAATATGGAAACAGAATAGGTTCAAAATGTCAGAAAAGCAAATGACAAAAGTGAAGTTAATTAACCTTTGTACATGTCACCAATAATATTATTATCTATAACGAATTGAGTTAGCAACCATGTTTCGATTACCAAACCTGTTCACAAATACATTTTTGCATTTCCCAAAACTACCCATTTGTAAATGTAAAAGTACATTCAAGACTTTTACAACCTTGTCGCATCCATAACGACAAAAGACACGCAGTAACATGGTGTATCTCGTTTCATGTTGTGCTCCATTCGAGTTCTCCTCCCCTGTCCAGATTTACAGTAATGCACTATCCGTGTAACGGTGCAGAGCCGAGGCCGCTATCATTTTTAAAACAGCAGCAGCCGCTATTTGAATTTATGACGCCGAGGTTTTAGTGCGTCGTTATTTCAGATATTTCTATCACTGTCGTAATGTATTTTGTCACTGAACCACCACTAGCCTTATGATGGTAATGAATTCAAATATACATCCCGGAGCTACATTGTACAGATATCAAAGAAATCTCTATTGATAAATATGGACATACAAGTTATTGGATTAATGAAGATAGCGGACTATTAATTAAAAATGCAGGACAAGCCGCAACTAATATATATATATATATATATATATATATATATATATATATATATATATAATATGTGAATAATCAATAACGTTAGTATTTCTTGTAACTATACAAACAAAGCCATCTTTTATTTTAACTTCCTATAAAAACTGAAAAGTACGCCAGTTTATTCTCACATGATACCATAAGTACAGTTTTTTTTTTAAAAGTGTTTTCTTGTATGTAGCCGAGTTTAAAGTTTTACCACGTACTACGTTCTATTTTAAAACATTTAGTACTACCAAAACTTTAGTACTACTATATAATATATAGATACTTTTAATAAAAAATATAATAGATACAACATATTAACATATAAACTTATAAACTTCATGTAAATTGTATTCAGTAAAGTAGCCGGCATATATATATACAATGTATATTATATATATATATATATATATATATATATATATATATATTATACATATATTTATATATAAATAGTGTGATTGCACGTAATCACACATAGGTACATTAATTTGTATAAATATTCAGTTGTAAATACTTAGATAAAACATGTTTTAAATTCAAAAATGTACAATATACCAGCATAAATTTATAATTAATGAGCATTCTATTTTTAAATGGCATTTATAGAATATATCCATGAATGTCCTTTTAAAGATACTCCACGTTCTGGAAAAAAGTTTCGATATAATTTACATGGTTATCTCTTGAAGATAAATTAAGTTTTACTAACAAATATGACGTCTTTCAATAGATAACTTATTAACAACTACGAGGACGTGTTTTCCAACGTTCGGATCTTTTCCTAAAAACTTTTAAACGAAGTTAGTTCTCGAGCATTCGACAATTAATAATATACCGAGTTTTCTAAGGAAAAAAGTTTTCTAATGGAAGTATAACAAACTTACATCAAGAACCTATTATAACCTTACGAATTTTATATAACCGTTTAAAAAAAACGAAGAAATTTAAAAAAAATATCAACAAAAAATATGATGTGTACACTTCTGGTAAAATAAGATAAATATATGTATCGTTTCTAAATCCTTAAATATAGGATTACATAGATACATGCAATACATACATATAGATACATATAGGTATTTTGCATATTATGTGAAACGTATAAAAAATTTAAAAATGCAAAAAAAGTTCATTTGTTACGTGGATAATTCTAATTCAAACACAACACACACGACTTTTTCCAATGTGTTCCAAAAAAATTCAACGTAACTCATACTTCTTGAAGTTGGATTTATTGGAAATTTAATATTTTGGTATTATAATGAAACTAAGTACTTTATAAATTATTGCCACCAGAATAACTTACAACGTCGTAGTACCTTCAAGTACATGTAAAATAATTCAATTAAAATAAAATAAATTTAAATAGAGTCGCAGCACAATGCTGCTGTTGGGCTTCGCAGAATATCATCTCTATTGAGTTCGAATAGGAACTGTTTTCCAGAACACAATAATTCATAATGCATTGTCAACGAAGGCATGTTTATCATATATACGTTTTCCTGTAGATGACATTCGAGTGTATTTCGAATGAATAGTTTCATGTACAATTCTAGAATCTGATATGAGAGGCTGTTATAAATAACAAGTTTGTAGACTAGTAATTGCAATATCGCAAAAAGTCACAGAAACGGATATTTGTTACTTTAGTGTGACTTTATATGAATCAGCAAATAATTTAAAACTTGTATTTTTCTGTGTTTTTAATTTTTTAATAAAATAAAATTAAGTAAGTAGTATGGATCAAATATTTTTGTAATGATTTTAATTTGTCTTGCAATTTATCTTTCTTTTTGTGTCCATATAAATTACTTTTGTCTAACTCAATTATATATTTTTTTTTAAATTAAATTAAATTATATTATTTATTTTGTTCCAGGTTTACCGACAATCATTCACGGCTCACTACACTGTGTACGACGTGACAAACGAGTAAGTATATTTTTTTATATCATGCAACATCTTTAAATAAAAATCAACACATGGGTCATTTTCTTATTTTATAAATATTATTATTTTTAATACAATCTATCATTTTCTACGACATGACGATAAATTTTCTACGTCTTTGTTGCAATTGTTAGTATTAACCCTTCATTCAACCATCATAAATGATGACTACTAAATCTGTATCAAATCCTTTAAAAACCTCTATAATATTTAATGATACTTTGTACGACGAAGAATTTATATGATATGATCGTTGATATGCATGACGTAAATCATTTCGTGTCTTGCCTCGGATGACAATCTTAAATGTATGAAGTTTTAGATTGAGTTTAGAGAATGATTAACTCACATCCATTCTAATTAACTTAGTTAAGAACCCTAGAATTCAATGCACACTAAGAAAGCGAAGCGTAATACTCATGTAGATATAAGATTTATTAGAATTATTATATCGGTTCCAAATGTTCTACATTCTAGAAAGTCAGAAAGGCGAGACTTTGGTAATCAAACAATTAAATTTATAAAATTTAATTAAAATGTGTTTTTGATACATGTAGAATTATTCTAAATTTTTATTAAAAAATATTATGAAGAGTATGTAATTTGGTAAAATTTGTTGTTTTAATATGAAATTAATTTTCTAAATGTATGAATATGAAAAGTAACAAATTCTGAATATTTAAAATTGGCCTAAAAACCCACTTGTTACCAGTTTGATACCCAATTCAGTCAGATTGATATCAAGCAATACTGATAGAAGTTTCACTTGCAATCTGAAATATGATGTCAATTGAAAGATACTTTTCAGGCATTAGATTTTTAAATATTTTCAAAGTAAATAATTGTTAACCATAATTCTATCCTATTCTTTGTTTAAGACACTGATTTAAAATTTGTAGAATTAATATGTAAAGAAAATAAAATATGTAAAAAATGTACCGAATAAAAGTATAGAAAAACATCGATATAAAAGATATGAAATTATTATTAAAATTATGGGAAAAATATGTAATATGTAATACGTTTCATTATTAATGAATCAAGTCTAATCTATTTCAAACACATTTTTTTCAGTCACCACATGCCAGTTCGGCTGAAAGATTCGCCGAAGGTGCAGCGTTCTCGGCTGCAGTATGCGGGATGGTTGGGAAACACCTCGGCCATGGTGATAGTCGCCGACAACGACATTTACCTTAGACTTTCGCCTTCCGAAGAGGAGGACTACAGACTTACAAACACCGGAGTGCCTGGCCGAATCTACAACGGCGTACCAGACTGGCTCTATCAAGGTAATAATAAACCATGATAGTAATACAGTCGAATATTCTATTCAAATTCATTCGTATCAATCTATTTTTTGCCCTATCTTTGTTCCGGTATAAACGCACAACGTGCTCTATTTGTAGTATATGTATTTCTTATTGAGTACTGTATGATACTTTTATTATCCATTCTTAACAAAGACTCAACAATCCCATCTCGTCCCTCTATAATGTAAGTGAAAGAAAAATTCCTAAATACATTATATGATGCATAACGAGCTAATAACAAACCATATTTTATGCTCGAATTCTATAGCCGGATATAACCGTAAACGAGGAGGTCATAAATAAAATATATAAGTCGTCCTTGGATAATAAATAACAAAAATAAAACGAAGATAACATTTTAATACCATCGCTACTTGTTATGGGCCAATTCGCTTAGATAAAAAGGATTAAATTGAAATCCGTGGAAAAAATATAATTTTGCATTCTATACAGTGCGATTTGCTAATACTGATTATCATATTATTTGAAATTTTAAATTTAAGCATATATTTTGGTTAGAATGGTTGTGATAAAAATCAGCGTAAAATTATTAATTAAATGTTTATTTCATTTATAGAACTAATATGCGTTTTCTAGCAATTAAATTATCCTTTCACCTCTATGTACGAGATAACGGTTTTAATTAAAATATTATACGGTCCAGTTGCTACTGCAAGCGCCATTACTTTGCTAAGCACCCATAAGCACGAAACTAGTTTCCAAAATTCCTACTGCATTCTCCTAATGCTTGTTGGCAATAAAATCACTTGTAGTTGTAATACATAGATGATGATTATTTCCATATACGACATTTAATACCTCATATTTGTATAATTGAATTATTTTCCCATTTTGATGATTTAATAGAGGGGTGGCCTTCATATTTTCTTTAAGAAGAAATTTTAATAAAATTCATCAATCTTTTTTATAGAGGAAATATTTTCGAACGTAGAAGCTTTATGGGGTTCGTCGGATGGCACGCACCTGTTGTACATGTCTTTCAACGACAGCGCCGTGGGCACGATGACATACCCATGGTTCTCGTCAGCGTCTGTGATAGCGGCCGCGGGCGTCAGCGAAGGAGGTAAAATTTGAAAAAAAAAATTCTATATATACTTTATTCATATTTGAATAATAAAGCAACACATTCAAATTCTAATTAGGATTATTAGATATTGAGCTACTGGTAAGATAGTAGTTAGTTAGTTTTACAATAAAAATAAAAATTGCTGAAAATGTTATTATCAGAATGAAGCCAGTTAACGTTTCTTCACTTTATGTTCAATGCCCAAACCTACCTAGTACTTACTATACAAATTCCGTGGCAAAAACTACCTTTTAGTTTAGCCAACTGTAATTGTCTCATATTTATAGCCCCCCGTTGTACTCCACAACAACCAAATACCATCTCAAGACCACGCTAAATATTTGGGAATGTACCTTGACAAAAAATTAAACTGGAAGACGCACATCCACAAAAACGCGAACAACTCGAACTTCTCCGTAAATCCATGCACTGGCTTCTAAGCAGCCATTCGAAGCTATCGACATACAACAAAATTCTTCTGTACAAAGTTATCCTAAAACCAGTGTGGACGTACGGTCTTCAAATATGGGGTTCAGCAAAGAATAGCAACATACAAATAATCCAGCGCTTCCAAAACAAAGTATTACGCCAAGCCATTTGTGCCCCCAGGATATGTGCCCACCTGGCTAATCCACCAAGATACACGTACTTCCACAGTAAAAGAAGAAATCAAAATTGCCCAAAGCTACAAAAATAAAATCGATGGACACTCCAATGTCCATGCAAGTCTATATGATGTCACGCATCAAAAAAGGCTGAAAAGGACGGAGTTATCAGAATTGACACATTGATTGCATATCTTCATTGTTCTTCATTACATTCCTTTATTATTTATTTTTTATCTAGACTAGGATAGTTATAGATATGAGTTTATATAGCATTAGTTATTTAAGTACTTATATAGTAATCAACAAATAGTAACAGCATATATCCACACTAGAAAGAATTACCATTGGGTAATCTTTCTAAATAAACCATATATTATAATGTACCAATTACTAAATGTCTTCACTAAGACAGATTGTAATTTGAATGGTAAATAAAAAAAAATGTAAATAAAAATATATCGTCTCCCACAGTTGCAAAAAAATATCAAAGTTTTTATATTTTCCGGTATCTTTTCCAGGTACGTTTCCGGACTCTCGTACCGTCCGCTACCCGACTCCCGGCACGCCAATACCTAAAGTGAAGCTGTGGATCGTCGACATGACGAATTTGACGGATCTGCAGATGTGGGAGGTTAAGCCTCCACTCGCCTTGGAAGGGCAGTAGGTATTTTTTACTTTATTACGGAAATCTCATTGTAACAATATGTCAGTAAACAATTTTATGAAATTTAAAATAGTAAAGTGAAATATATAATGATACTATAAATAAGAGAACCAACATTATCAAACCACCTTCGCATATTCATAATTCTTCTTGAGTGTAAGAGTATATAAAAACTGTCATTTTTTGTTATTTGTAAAAATTGGTTTTAAAATTATATTGCTTTCAGAACTGTTTGTTATGTTGAAAATCTAAACATTAAAACTTTAGTAAACGATAATTGTTATAGTATTTTTGAAATCATTTATTTATTTATTTATTCATAAGCAAGCCGTAATCAATAATAATAAATATTATTTCAGGTCCTTGTCAAGCTTATTCATAGTTAATATTAAAAACATAGTAATTTTATAATAATCATAGTAGCTGCATGAATTTCGCTTCTGAAAAAAAGAGCTGAAAAAAGCATTCGAACATTAAATGCAATGTTCATCATCAAGTTCATCATATTAAAGTCTATTTGACCACCAGTCAAGCTCAAAATTCTTGCACAAGGTTGAAAGTTATACTCATTTAAAACCGTAAAAATGTTAAATTAATAAAATAGCAATAAAAGAAATTTAAAAAATATGGTTGTACAGGCGATCAAATGGTCAGACTACATAGATAAAGGATAAGGATTAGGCAAGAAAATAGTTATTGAAATCAAATTGAGAAAATTCAGTAATGTCATAAAAAGCTAATTCTTTAAAAAGTTTAACTAGGGAAGCATGATATTTTTTGCTGTCTAAGTTTCGGATGTTGAGTGGAAGTTTATTCATAAGCTGAATAACTTAGACCGTCGATCGTATTGAAAGAGCTGCCTAATTTATATGTGCGCGCCTTAATAAGTTTGTGTCTAGTGTTGTAGTTTCATATAATTATAGAGCTTAAAATAAATATTTTATTGCTTTAAGTACATCTAAGCCCGGTTTGTAATTTTTAGGGATTTCTACCTCACGTCCGCCAATTGGATCGGACAAAACAATCATCAAGTAGCCGCGGTGTGGATGAACCGCGCGCAAAATCATAGTATCATAAGTGCGTGCCTAGCGCCGAACTGGACTTGTATCGAGGTAAAAAAAAAATAGTTAGAATATTAATGAAAAAATGTATATTCTGAATACTAGATTTTAACAAAATAAATACAAATACAAAGTAACATATACAATGTTTTTGTACGTCAGTGTGTTGACCCATAGATGGTAATTGCTATGTATGATTTATAAGAAGCACCAACTTCAAAAAGACGCATTACGTAAGCATCGTATTTATTTACATATATTTATAACGAAAAACATCAGGATTTGAATTTGATACTAGTGCTCGTAAATAAAATTTTCATCGCTCTATTTATCTATAATTCACAGACGCATTCGGAACGAGCGCCAGAGAATTGTTGGCTAGATATCCAACCCCATCCCACGTTTTCACCTGATGGGGACAGTTTCTTGCTGCTCGCCAGCATACAAGAAGGCGGCAGCGATCACTTTACTCACATAAAACACGTTACGATAACACAACAGAGGATAGCCGTACTTAGTCACGGAAGGTGAGGATAAATAATAGTATCATTTATATTTTTTTGTTTTTGGAATTAAAAAAAATTATAATTTTGAATATTTGATGTATTGCGAATTGTAAATGCATGTCTATGCAAGGAAATGGGAAATAGTTGAATTATTACTTATATAAAAATGCAATTCAAAATAATTGACCATCGATCATTGATCTAACGATCTAATTTTTCGCATGAAGTTGTTGATATCATCATTAATCAATTCATAATGCAGATTTAAATTGGAGTTAAAAATTGTTTAATAAATGTTTCATTTTGAAAATATACGTGAAAGTTTTCCATGTTTTCCACGGAAAACATATGCTAACATGTCTAGTTCTTTTTAGACGAGCATACTAAGACATATAAGTATTTCAGTAAATCGTAAATTAAATGATTCGAAATGCAATCGCTCCTCGATTTTTATTCTTATAAAATTTATCGAGTTACCTCAGATACCTTTTATAATTATCTTACGTTAAAAATGATATAAATCCAGCTAGTGTATGCTATATTAAAAATATATAGTTTAATTTAATAAATTTATAACTTTATTTATTTATATTATATTTATTTTTTATAAATTTAATTAATTATAACTTTAATTAATTTTTAAATTTAAATAAATTATTATTCTTTGGGGTGGCATAATACAAGTTCGAATAGATCATTACTATCAGTGAACTAATCTAATTGTTAAAACCCAATTTTAATAGAATTAAAGATAGCAAATAGTCAATTTCACTCAGTACTAGAAATGTACCAAAAACTACCGCAAGATCAGTATTAAGTCTTTCAAATCTTCTACGAATTAGATTCTGCAAGTCCTCTATATTCTATCATTTCTTTTGCTAGTAAAGATGTTACAGGTCCTGTGATAAATTTTATTTGAGGTGACGTGTTATTAGCACAAAAACTTTCCCAATCCAAGTTTACGTGTCACGGAACGCAATTAGGGTCCGGGATCGAAAACCTTTAGTTCGTATAGCAATCGTGGTTTCAACTTGAATGATTAACACCTCATAGGAAAAAATTGAATTAAGCATAAATTCACTTCTAGTAGAATTTGCAATTCAGGCGCGTCTAATAGCAACAGATAAGTAACAGTTTTTCAAAAATCTATTTTATTTTCTTTCCTCCAGATACGAAGCCACCAGAGTGTTGGCTTGGGATTCGTACAATCATCTAGTGTATTATTTGGGCACGATGGAAAAGCGACCCGGCCAAAGGCACCTGTATGTCGTAAAGGACCCTGTGCATGATGACCCCAGGAGGACGGAACCACAGTGCATAACTTGCGATTTGGGAGAAGTGCTTTGGAGCAGCCGATACTATTATAGTAATTGTACACATTTCAATGCAGCTGTGAGTAGAATGGAAATATATTGTATATTACTGAAAAATGATTTACCCGCAATATTTTGTCAATCTTTAATTATTTCATAAAAAATAATGTAGATAATGTATAACCCTTTTCTTTGATCTCTATTTATTTGTTCCATATCTTTTTCGAAATTTCTTATTATGTTTAATCTGTAAGTGCAATTTTGTAGTTGTTTTCAAATCAATAATCAACAAAACTAATTATGTTTTGGTATAACAGCGTACTATTTCACGAAATCACCTTTCAATTATTAATTCATTTTTGTAAAGCCAAAAATAATGAAACATTACTTTCTAATATAAATTATAAAGTATTTACTTGTGTTGTTATATATAAGATATAAATTAATGGTACGGAATATAGTTTAAAATTCAAATCGCGATTAAATCCCTAATTAGCTTGTGGTGGTTTAAAATCTTTTTAGGCTCATTAGCGTGAATAAATTTAACGTACAAATTAATTTGAAAAAAAAAGCTCAGGAATAAATTTTTGAAGACTAATTGAGCATTATAAAAAAAAGTTTTTAGAAAAAAAAATAAGTTGCGTGGAATATTTCAATTCATTTAAATCGATTTGTAATGCAACGAAACTCCATTACTTTACATAAAAGTCTATTTATTTTCTACTTCATTTCTTTTTTTATTGAATTCGGCCAAACGGGGAGTAATAATTTAGGCACTGATTAAAATTAAGCGAAGTAGGACATTAAAGCAAAACGAAAAGTAAAGACAAAAAACTTGGAAATGTTTTTTATGTGTCAGCGAAATAGGCTTTAAACTGACGCAATAATGCGGTTGAAAGTTGCTGCAGGAATAAAATTCATTTTAATATAATGAATACCTTGGATAATAACATTTTTATCATTTTTTTTCATTTTACTTCTGAAATAAGTAGCTTTAAAATTTTTTAAGATACTATATAATAATACTCTGAATTACCTGTTCAACCTCACGCACTAAATGAAAGTTTACTTATTTTTTTACTACATCTTTGCAATAACAATGAAGGTATATGAACTATAAATAAGTAATAACTATATACCGAATATACTATATGGTATAAGCAATGTAAACTTTCAATACCGGCCAAGCATGAACAATAACAAAATAAACAATCAGAAACTTTCAGCTCCGTTTTTAAAATTGAGTGAAATGTTACAAAAGTATTTGATTGAGTTAGTGCGTTTGTTGTTGAATAAACAATTCTCACTATATACAAAAGTTTATATAAAACGTAAAAACATTTTAATAAATAAAACTCTTAAGTTTAGAGTATTGCGACGTGAGAAAAATATACAGGATGAAATTGAATTTTCTCGTTTGCTTTATGGCAGTATCCAATCGATCCATTGGTTTGACTAATTGATTGATAGACCATACAAAAAGTTATTATATGAAATTAATTTTCTACAATAAGATGCTGCATGGTGCTATGATATTCGAAAATTTTAGGGTTCTTATAAATTCAGCTTCATTGTTATTAATAGCACAGCGTGCTAAATATGACCAAATCAGCTATAAATTAAAACAATTAACAACTCCACGACTCCGACAACTTTGAAATCGAAATACTCGACACAAATGTGTTTTATAGTGCGTTGTTTTATAATGCATCTAAGGTTTTGTCAAATTCCATTTAATTTTCTGAAAAAAAAAACGTATACCTAAAAGGTCATAAAACCGCCTATGAGACGATAAAACGACAGCTTCTTTCCCAAAGCAAAAACGCAGTAATAGATTTAGTACCAGCTTAGGGAAGTCGGATATGACAAATCCGACGAGACAACTCCACTCGGATTCACTCTGAAGGAGGAGTTGTATCGGAGTGATAACTCCGGAGTGAGTTACCATCTCTAATATGTATCTATTTTTCAGGTAAGTCCATCCCTCAGGCCCATGGAGCACGGAATGTCGTATTACGTTCTCCAGTGCGAAGGTCCAGGCCTTCCGCTAGCCGGGGTTCACTCTGTCGGAACGCACAGGTTGTCGCGGATTCTATATGACACCAGGCCTCAGCGCACGGCCAGGCTCAGGGAACTGGCTTTGCCCACACAGAGGTCATTCGAGGTAAGAAATCGAGTGGATAATAGAACTTTATTTTAATTTCATTATAAATTGTTTAATATCGATGAAATTTGCTCTTCTCCGATACTTCTCAGCCGATAATAATAGCCTTTGTACTACTCATAAGGTGAAATTTGTGCAAAGTTTAATTGTTTTCTATAGAAATTATAAATAATGAGATTAGATGAGAAATTAGGATAATGAGATACTTGGCATATCTGAATAAAACTTAATAATGTACAGATTTTCTAGTATCATAACAACATAGTTGTTTGCTTTATTAAGATACTTTATAAAGCACACTCATTATCTGTGAGTCTATAAAATAACATTTTCCAAAATTACGCATATATAAATGAATTTAAAGAAAACTATATCCGCTAAAAACAATTATACGAGCTTTATTTGTATTAATTCAAATTTCATCGATGCAAACAAGGGTGATGAAAATAAAGTTAAAACAACAGACGTTCTAATTTTGAAATTGATGTCATTTTTTCAGGTACAACTGCCCCAAGGTTGTAGGGCCCAGGTGCAACTAATGCTTCCGCCAAGTTGGAGAGAAGAACTTAGGGACGCCGCATTTCCCGTACTCGTGGAAGTGTGAGTTTATATATATATATATATATATAAATTTTATCTATTATAACTGTTTATATTCTTGTATTCTTGTATGTATCTCAAAACTAAATTCCGTAACCGATTATTTTCAGTTCATAAATATATTTTTGTATATAATTTCTGCCCAAAATAATCGACATCTTCATTACTATATCACAAAATGTTTTGAACTATTAAAGTTTAACGTAATTTTACTAGTTGCAAGTCTCCGAACACTAAATTACATATAATACAATAATACAATGAAACGAAATTTGCAACACGCAAAGTTCCTCGGTTTAGAGAATTCATTCGAAAATTATATTACTTTATCGACAACTGCCTGACAGAATAAATTGTACATTTGATTAAAACGGGAATACGGTACATCTATGTACTATATATAATATAAGAGAAGATACTATTATCGATCAGAATATAAATAACTTTTTTTAATTGAGGTACTGTGAGAGATAAAATACATCATGTGCTGCATAAATTGTTAACTAATGTCTAAAACTGTCGTGTGCCAAGTGTCTGTCTGCTATTATTTTATTTGTCACAATTATTCTAAAGCGAGCAATTGATTAAAATTCTGCACGCGTAACGTTCCTTGAAATTCATCTTGCACTATTATCGCGAATTTAATAGAGAATAGTATGAACAGAGATAAAGCTGCGAGAAAATATAAATCTACTATATATTTAAGATTTGATAAAACTTATCAACATATCATTTGTTTCCCCTAGCTTCCTGATTAAATACCTACTCTGAATGATAAGTTACGCTTATTTAGATAATGCCAGGATTTACGGAACTTTTGAAATATTGTTGATGTTGTTAAACTTATGTAATGCGCGTAAACTTCGCGTAGAAATTCAAATAAACGCACATTTCTAAATGTGTACACATTCATATCTGCCGTTTATTATGTACAGAAGTGTAGATGAGAATTATATGCACTGTGTACACAAATTACCACAAAGTACTTTTTATATGAGTTAGTTTTGAATTGAGATAAATGGGAAATACTGGGATTGTAGTTATGAAAACTACATAATATGATATAAATTTAATTCCGAGTATATATTTTTAAACTCGATTCAAAAGGTTTGCGTAAATATTAATTTCGTATACCAATTACGTTTTTCATTAAAACTTGTATAGTAAAAGCTTTAAAAAAAATCTAAGTAAGCTGCAAATTAATTGTTGTCTTTTACTATTTTTTTATGAGCAATCAGAATTTATGTTCTATGGGCTCCTTCCTTACATCGTATTTATAGATTAATTATAAATATATATACAACGATTATGCATCTATTTTTGAATATTATCTATATTATTAATATCATTAGAATTTATCTAATAGGGCTGTGAATTTATTTACTTTCTATTTACTTTCTGCATATAGTTACTAAATACTCATAATTACTTTTATCTGCAAATTAATACCAAAGTTTAATGAATACTGGTCACTTTATTTGATAAGTAACTAAATTAGCGGTTTATTCAACCAGAAAATACCTTCGTTGTACACGAACTTTTGTTAATAATTTCTCAAATCTGGATCAAAATCAACGAAGTTGAATGTCTATCAAACTTTTAATAAAACATTTTCATCATAAATACTTGTGGACTGTAAACGAGGCATGGAAATAAGGTGCTTACCATTAAATGAGATTAAAATTGAAACTAAATGCAGCGACATTTTAATAACTCATAAACCCCGAACCAAAATAATGTGGTTTAGGAAAACCAAAAGTGTACAATAAAGGACTACCTATAAATTAAATATGAATTCATACATTTCCGGACCTTTCAGAAATGGACGTCCGGGAAGTGAAGCTGTATCGGATCGTTTCAACATAGATTGGGGAACTTACATGTCGAGTCACAACGATGTGGTTTACATAAAGTTGGACGTCAGGGGGGCCAGGGGTCACGGAAAACAGGCGCTCTATAGACATCTAGGTGGGGTTGAGGTGCAGGACCAAATCACAGTCATGAGGTAAACTGAAAATGTAAAAAATTGAAAATAAATTTATTTATGATCTATATTTATACCGATACATGGTCATTTCAGAAATTATTTAGGAGCTAATTCTGAATATATTTCTTTTAATTTTTTTATTTCTGCTTTTATTACTTTGATATTTGTTATCTATAAAAATTATATTATTATAAATACTATTAACAATTACTTTATTAAATGATTTTAAAACGGTTGTCTTGTAAGATAGGGTAGGGCGGGGCTAGTTGAGCAAATTTTTACTTAAACGGATGTAGCTCCTCAATGAAAAGTCTCAATAAATTGCTATATAGGATGTATGCTTATGTACCCCATAGGTGGGGCAAGTTGAGCACTAAGAAAGTATAATGAAATCATAGGTTCAATGTCGATTAGTGATGAAATAAAATAAGTTTTTAATAACCAGTTCTATATTTATAGTCTTTATTGACAGAGAAAACTAAACTTAAGTAATTTGCTTTGAATAATTAACGAAAAGTAGAATCAACAAAACAATATCGTATCTTAGGAATTATTTTACCATTATATTCAGTATTTTTGTTTAAAATCAGTATTTCTTTATATTATTTCTCATAGACTTAGCTTTGATATATCTTAAAAATAATAATTAATTTCTGGAAGTTAATGGTAATTGTCTTAGTGACAGAACAAGTTTAACAACTATGCTCAACTAACCCCAACTCGAAATTTCAAAATAAAAGTGAGTTTATAAAAAAAAACGTGAAAATTATACCCAGAATCTCTGTGCATATTAAAAATACTATAATTATATGGAAGAATAATATTTATTTGATTAAAAATAAATAACAATTGACTAAACCAGACGAAAACTCGTGATGAATTACTTTTTTACTTTTTGGTCTCAAAATAAACAAAACGGCCGTGAGCCTCACTCATTTGTCCAGCGGCCACTAGCGATCGCGGGATGTTTATTTCTCCCAAACCTCTATCTTTCCGCCATACAATGCCTAAACAAACGGTGAATAGTTTTCGAGATATTTTGATTGCTCAACTTGCCCCTATTCTCAACCAGCCCCGCTCTACCCTAGCTAAAAAAATCTGAGACTAATCGAAAATAAATACAATCATTATTTTAAATTTTTGAACTACAAATTAACAATGGTATGCTATGATCAGAATTGTATAGTAGTCATATTATGATAGATCAGATGCGATTCTGCATATTTTGTTTAATTTTCTGCGAATAGAAGTTGAATGTTAATTAAGTATCAGCTAACACCGTATAAATCAATCAAATTTTCGATTTCCAATATTAATATGTCTAAATATATTTCGCAAGCAATTTTACAAATACCATCTATATTTTTAGGTATTTATTAGATACTTTGAAGTATTTGGATGAAACTCGGGTTGGAATCTGGGGTTGGGGCTACGGTGGCTACGTAACAGCCATGGTTCTTGGTTCGCAACAAAATGTTTTTAAATGCGGTATTTCCGTTTCGCCTATAGCAGACTGGCTGTATTACAGTGAGTATACAAAATAAACTATCCTTAGAGCAACAATGTTATATAAATAACGTACTGTAATTTTTAACGTAGCTATCTATTCTACATGTGTATTTTATCTCAGATGCCGCATTTACGGAGCGCATTCTCGGTCTTCCCGCCGAGAACTACAAGGGTTACGTGGAAGGAGACGCGACTCAGCGCGCCCGACACATACCGTCCTACTCGCTGTACCTTCTGCACGGCCTGGCCGATGTTACGTCTCCGTACTACCACGGCGTAGCACTGGCGAGGGCCCTGTCGGAAGCCGGGGTCATATTTAGATATCAGGTAAATCGACATCTTTGTTTATTACTGTTGTGTGAACCATTCACACAACTTGTACAATGATCAACACTTTGGGGACGGCTGTCTACCTCAGTGGACAAACAAACTCTGTGAGGCACAGGCTATTTTATAAACAATGACTCAGTTTGCATCGAAAAGTTGAATAAATTACATATCGCAGTGATAAACAGTGTTCTATTTTAAAATAATTTCAAGTTATTTTAGTAGTATATTTAGCCTTTTTCTTTGCTACATAGTCTGTTTTTTAATATTTAAAATGACCGCGCTTTTAAATATGGCAAAACGACTGGTAAATTTTGTGAATTAAGCAATAGTGAAGATGAGTTTCAAATAGACATTCATACAGACAAATTTTACGAAATTACTTTTCGCACCGAAGATAGTGATGAATGTGATGATGATATTATCCAACGAACAAAAAGAAGTTCGACAAATTAAATGAAGAGCGGAAAGACATTAGCGAATGTGCCGATTCTCCTCCAATAATTCACCCCGACTACAAATACCAAGTAATATAAGACATCCAATAGATTATTTTACATTATATTTTACAAATGAATTATTAGACAATATAATAGAAAAAACAAACCGTTTTGGCAGCACAAAAATTAAGAAATATACTGACTAATCAGTGGCATATACTAAATGCTACAGAAAGAAAAAGGGATTGTATTATCTGCTCTGCCAAGAGAAGGCGGCGAACAACATTTTACTATAAAACTAAAAATCAACCAGCTATTATTATTTTGAACGTCACCATTCTTTAAAAAAAGATCAAAAATAAATTATTATAAATGTATGCCCTTCAATGACCACAAATTTTTATCAAATAAATTGCATAACATACAATCACGTTTACAGTCAGTAAATTGTTTTGAAATCGGTGCCGTCTCGTAAGTGTTAATACCAACGTGAATGGTAGAATGTAGAACGTCTAAATGTAACATTTGTGGTAAATTTCTATTTACCTAGAAAAAATTCCTATTTAGTTAGATAACATAGGCCAACAAAGAAAATGGTGCAAACGATTTTAATGCTGTTTTTAAGTATATTTGGGGTGCTGATTTCAAAAATGAGATTGGTTTTCTTCTATGAGCTTTAGTTTTCAAGATATGATATATATGATATATAAGGAATGAAAGTACCTACAAAATAGTAATACAATTCAGAATTATTTTAATGAGATATGCCTACTCGTATATACAAACTTACAAGACCCATTCGGCCTTAGTTGGGACATTAGTTGACACTGTGAAAAGTTCTTTTCCTACAATGGACCTGGTTTCGGCAACTTCTTTCCAAGTTCCAAATTAGAGCTGATACAAAAAAATGGTTTGCAATTTGAACAGCGCAAAAAATACTATAAGAATCAGCTCTAACATTTGATGCACCAAACAAAAAAAATTTTTTGTAGGCCTGTGTATATTAGACAAAAAGTATCTATAGAGCTTTTGTAAGCTTCATATCCATGAAATTTACTAAAATTGATTATTACATATGTTCATATTCTTAAAAAAAACAAATGATACAATTATATATAGGTGGCCCTCGTAAAACACGGTTGTCACGTTCCAAAAAAGTCCGGTTTATGCAAAATCGAGTTACATGAAACACAGGACTAGTACAAAACAAGGGGTTACGTTCCAAATAAAAAATAAATTATGCCTACCAATTTTTTGTAAGAAGTGATACATATTAATTAATTAAATGATAGATTAGAGTCATAACTAAATGCTATTTAATGCGAGCATTTTTTTGACAAAATACCATCAAAAGTAAAGAAGGCGTGGTGTTGGAGATGCTCTAACTGTTTATGAAGAACTTTTAACAGAATAATGCAGGAGAAAAGGGCAAACAACATTAGATGCTTTTGCCACAAAAAAGCAAAACACTGAAAACGCGGAAGGCTAACTAAATATGATGCTTTTGTCACAGAAAGGCAGAACACTGAAAACTCGAAAGGCTAACTAAATATGACTAACTTAGAATTTTATTTGTTTTTTTTTTAAGAATATTCGTTTTGTTATTTATACTTTGTTTTAATTTTGCAAGAAATAATAATTTATTAGTTTGGGTTTTGTTTTTTATTTTTGAAACAAAAATAACTTTTTAAGTGTGGTAAACCAATTAGTTACCTAGTTTAAGAAATCCATTTAAAGATAATTTCTATTGAAACAAACATACTTTTTGAATTTAGTACCTAAACCAATTACCAATTACCTAGCCATCTTTCCCTAACCCCTATATTTCCATGTAAAGATAACCCCGATTAGCGCTGTTTCGCATTATTCTCTACTTTGGTGAAACATAAAATTTTACACAATTAAATCTATTACAGAGTTATGCAGACGAGGGTCACAGGTTGATCGGCGTCTTAGACCACGCTTATCGCTCCATGGAAGATTACCTCCGCGAGTGTTTGAGTTTGGACCCCGACGATTCCAAACCGTCTGCACCCCCTGCGGCGTGATAAAATCGCTTACAAATTAACATTTCATTTATAATAAAATTTCAATTACCCTTTATAAACAAACACTATCAACGTTCAACGAGTGCTGATAAACAAAAACTTTCTAGAGCCATAATCACTAGCCAATTTCAACACATTTGCAAATAGGCTCGGTATAGTTAAAAAAAGTTCTGTTAATATCATTAGACATAACGGGCAATAAATTTAAATTTTAGTTAAAACGAATAAAATGTGAGGTTTAAATAAGGTTGTAATAATTCATAACCCATATACGTCATGTCAATTTCGTATGATGATTATTAAATATAATTCATTTTCAGTGATGTATGAATGTGATAGATATTAAGTATAATGGAATAATAGTATACTAAAATGTTATGTTTATACGTATTTAAATAAAAAAATAAAACGCAATCTCGATTTTGGGCAAATTAATGCAAAAGATACACATATGATATATGATATATATATATATATATATATATATATATATTATATTAACATTTAAGCCTAAAAGTTGCCGAAACTCGAAGATTACAAAACAAAACGTGAAAATTATATTAGGAATTTGTAATTTATAATTGTTATTTAAGATTTAAATAGTGCAATTGTTTAAGTTAATATTGAAATATGAAAAAACAACTTTCTAAATGCTTCCTTGAATTAAATACAGATGCTTACTATCAGTGTAGAAATAAATATTATTTTCGTAAAACCATATGTACCTTAATTATTATGTTTCTAGTGTCATATCGGAATAAATGAAAAATATTCACTTAAATTCAAAGATTTTTTGATTTGACCTATTTTAATTGTAACAACATATTGAAAAATTTGATACTTAAAAATTGAGTAAATATATGAATGCACAATATATATTAACCCATGTCAGCCGACTGTACTTTATGTAGTAAAGCAATTACAAACCAGATTCAATAACTTATTATATTGTACTTTTATACGACAACATATAAATAAAGAAATATAAACCAAAATATATAAAATTAAATGAATGTTTTCCATAATCAATAAATGCTTAATAATTTGAAAGAGTTACGAAAAATGAGTATAAAATATACTTTACAGAAAAGTTCTAAAAACTATTTAGGAAAACTTACAGGCTAATATGGGTTAAATCGATTTTTCAAAATATAAATGTCATTATAAATAATAATTACAGAAATATTTTAATAGGTCTTGAGATGTCAATTATTTCAACAAAAATCTAGTCAGGGCTATTATTATTATTTTATAATTAATAATACTAACAATAGATATTCGATAGAAAGTTTAATTTATGAAATTTTTATAATAGTTTTTGCTGAATAACAATCAAATGAATGTTGAATGTAATTTTACATAGTTTAAGTAGGAAAAATTGTATACATTTTATATAAATAATGATTCATTAACAAAAACTTAGCAATATGATATAAAAAAGTTATCTGATTGTACATATGCTGTTTCATTAAAAGTTTACACGTCACTACGTTTTGTATCTTTTTCAGAATAAAAATTATAAATATTTTTTGCTTATCCAAAATTTAGCAACACTAACATGTTGAATATTCAAAAATTTGAGAAGATTTACTTATTCATAAGCAAATATAAATTATAGACGTACGTTTTTAAATAAAGTATAAGAGTAACACAATCAGTTTTCACCAGGGTTCGTGTATAGCATGATACTCTATTGCCATGTTTATAAAAATTATTTATAAATTAAAAAACTAGGCTAGCAAACAATAAATAAATAATTACAATTTTAGAACAATATCAGATACGATATTAAATGTTTGGATGTTGAATGTATCAAATGTTAAATGGATTTTAAGAAATTATGAAAAAAATCTCAAATCAAACTTTTGCCTTGTTAGATTAGATTAATAATAATCTGCTAAATAAATCTAATGTATATACGTTAAATGATATATATTGAAGATAGATTTATGCACTTTTATGTATCGATATAATATGTATGTTGGACTCAAGGGGTATTTTGTCAATCTTGAAAAAATATGGTTATATGAATTTGTTGAAATAATTTATCAATTGATAAATTTATGTATTCAAGAAAATATTTTACAATATATAATTTATACATTTATGTACAGATTCAAGAAAAATGAAAAAAATCCCTTGTGAAAACATGAACTTCCGTCAAATATTTTTATATCATATTTAAAAATCAGTTTATCAATGCACTTATTTGAAAAAGAAATTAGTTAAATTTCAATTCCACATAAATGTGCTTAGAACTAACTTGAAAATATACTAAAAACTAAATATAATATGTACATTGTTACCGTTCATGATTCATATTGCATTTTAGACATGTAGAATTATGCCAAGTTTATAGAAATTGAATGACGCAGAAATCGAAAATAATAACATTTTAAGTTGAAAAAAATTAGATCTTGAAATTTTCTAATGCAGTTTTTGATTTTTAAATTTCCTAGTATAGAAAATCAAATTGATATATGCAATAATAATACAAGCAGAATTATTATAACAAATATAAAATATATTGGTATAAGTTTTTTTTAAGAAAACAGTTTAGATCTTTGCAATATAATATTTAAAATAAAATCATCGCAACGATAACAATTGCATAAGGGCAAGCACATATAAAATTAAAAATGAAAACACAGAAGGCGATTTGAAAAATCCAAGTATATCAATAAGTGTGCACATTAAATATATAAAAAGGATTACCACCTTAACTAGGCTTCATTAAAATATACCCACCATTTCAATGTCATTTCTTCATACCAATAGCTGGTTTTGAAATATTTTTATGAAAATTATTGTGGCTATATATTCTAAAAAATAATTGAATGTAAAATAAATCAATATTATTGCACTCTGAACAATATAACTGACTTGATTCCAAACGCAAAGAATTATCAAAAACAAATCCATCTGGTTTTTGTGCAGTTGAAAATTTTTAATTTACTAACGCTTGGATTTTTCTAAACCGCTCAAAGATTATTATGCATGTTGGCTCAAAATCGGACAAAATTTTGTGTAGAAGACCTCATGTGTGTGACATATATAGTGCCGAATAAAAAAACAAGTGAAAAAATGTAATTTTTCTTGTCAGGGTCGAATTTAAGGGCACTATATATAGACAGTTATAAAAAAGACTATAATAAAAGTAGATATATTGTTAGTAATTATTGTAATGGATAACGCAAGATACAAATATGAATAAATTACTCATAGTGATATATCATATAGACATAACTTTTCTCTTTCATTGTTTACACATTGAAATTTCATTTGTTTACACCACAATTGTTTAAAAAAAGCACTTTGTCTAGATTTTTCAAATCGAAAATTTTAAGATAACTGATTGGATAATTCATACATTAACTTAAATTTAAAACATTCCTGTAGGTTATTGGTTATTTGCTCTAAAAGTATTCAAAAATATTTTTAAAAAACATTTCAAACAATTCATAAATAAATATTCTGAATATTGGGTAAAAATATTGAGATATTACATATTTTTTTAAATATATTAGGATTTTAAATATTTATAGATATGTATTATTTTAAATATCAATATATTTAATATTTTAAATACTTAGAAATGTTTTAAATGATAATATTTTATGAATAATTAAAATCTTAATATCGATCTAATTTAAAATTCACATGATTGTATCACATTTTTATCGTCAAAATATTAGAATATTAATTATTCGATTTATAAAGAAGTTTGCATCGCTAAATTAATGTAAAAATACCTTTTAAATATTTTTAAACAGTCACAAGCAAATTGGCCGAATTTTATTTATTTCAATGAATTATCACAAGTTATTATAATATAAAAAGTTTTAGTTTTTACAAAATATGTATTTGTATAAGAGAGGAATTAAGCAAACACCAAAAAGTTATGTAAAATTATGATGTAATTAAGCGGCTACGTTAATTGATATAACTAAATGTTAATAGATTTTGTTTTTGTATTACATGAAAAAAATCAAATAATAATGCAAAATGTTTTCAATAAATTGTTATATATCGGAAAAAGTATTTTTTTATTATTTCAGTTTTGACAATTCACTTTGCAAACAAAATTATTATTATACAAGGAGGCATAGATTTTTTCGAAAACAAATTTCAATTCACTTGGTGATTGAAATATTTTAATTTTTATACTGAACTGAAAAAATTATATTTTAAATTTGTATTTTGATAAAAATTTTGATATGACTTGATTTTTGTTACGACTATCGAAAATACCATGGACAGAAAACCAAATAAACATGTAAGTAATATTTCGTAATTTTACAAGTTCAGATATAACTAGTTGGTATTGGTATTTTGCCTTGAGGCAAGTTACATGAACTTCCCGATATGTGTAATTGATCGACTTACTCAATAAAAAATAAATTAATTTATGAATGATTAAAAGTATTCCTAGTGGATTTATAACACTTAATTGAAAACGAACAAACTCGTTAAATTGGAGTATTTTCTAAAATCAAATTTTCAAAAATCAATAATTTTTATAATTGAACCAATTTCCATAGGACATTAATGGTTTAGTATGTTCATTAAAACCAAGTGCTCTATCGTTATACCAAGTAAATTGTCTAATTTTAATTTTAACAAACGTCAAAAAAACTCATTTTCTCAAAAAATGATGAATTAATATTTTTTAAGCAATATTTCAGTAAGTTCTATAAGACCATGATATATATCGCTAAAAAAGTTCCATAAAAATCGGCTTCGATTTTTTTTTCAACAGTTAATTGCAAGAAAACGGCTCGGTAGATTTTCACCTAAAACTAATAAGTACCATTCCCAACTAATATCTTTCGAACAGTTTTTGATTTTTTAAAATTGATTCGGTAGTATGAGCTTAAATGTGGACGAAAAGTTTAATACTTTTTTCAAATTCAAAGAAAGGGCTCGGCAGACCGTCTCACAAATCTGAGAAACGATAGTCCTCATTGAGATACATCAAATAGCTTTTAAATTTCTGAAAT